GTCAATCCACAGGAGCAACATGATTATGTATTTATTGATGCTGAGCGAAGTTATCGACCTGGATGAATCTCACTCAAGTCGTTTATCACAACTCCTCCTAATACAACATGATTCCACGATCACCTCCTGGTCTAACGCAAAACCCAGAGCCATTTACGATTACCCACGGCGAGATAAACTTGCCATATATGCATACTATGTTGTTCGTCCATGCAACTCGGCATCATTTAAAACGCCGGCCACATGTGTTTGCTCGGTTCGGTAAGACCGAAAGCATCATTTCAAATCGCCAACAAACGCTCTTGGGGACACTACGGTGTTGCTTACACAAATTATTAATTAATTCATAGGCAATTAAATCGGTTTTGAATGTAGCTCAGAATCATGTTACACGAGGAAAAAGTATCTTGCAACAGCTTAGAATGATAATCATAGAACGATTCTCTACGACTTATGCAATATTTCGTTGCATGCAAAATGATGTTTGGAGCGAGTTTTGTTAATTTGTATGCAACAAGATGACTCTTTAAAGATGTTTAGAATGTTTTTAATTGATGAAAAAGTAATTGGTGATGATCTAGAGTGATATTCAGATGCATTATCTATGGCTTATGCAATATTTCGAAAGGTGCAAAATGATGTGTGGAGTGATTTTTCTCAAGAATTAAAATACTACAAGATGACCCGGTAAACGGGTTTAGAATTTTGTTTAATGAATAAAAAAGTATGGTAGGATAGTTCTGGATTATTCTAAGCGTGTGTATTGATGAGTTAGATATTGTTCGGTTCGAGTTACAGTGTTTTTCAGGTTGGTTGCTATTAGCGGAAATGCTTGTTGTGCGATCTGTTTGGGGTGATGCTAGGGACTATGTGTGATTATTCATGAGTCGTAGTTGTGTCGGTCGGTGTCCGTTTTTGGAAGACTACAGTTGATTCACCTTCTGATTGAAGAATGCTTGCTTGTATGAGAGATTTTTTATGATGTCCTTATCATCGGAATCTGATGGAATCTGGTCAAAGATGTGGTGAAGCCCTTGTGAATCCGGAATCATCCGGTAGCCGAGGTCGATCGGTTTCGACAATGTTCGGTTTGTATTATCCGGCAGGAAACGACCGGACCATTTCTCTATGAATTCCAGGAGCAGAGATTCCGGCGAAATTCCTGTCGGATCCTGGCAGATTTTATTGGAAAACATACCGGCTTCTGGGGTGATCCGGTGCCGGTTCCGATGGGTCCTGGCAGGATCCGGAGGCAGGATCGAGTGACTTGGGCTGTTTGGGAAGGCGTGTGATGAAGACGCAGGGACGGCGCGAACGGGAAGGGGGTTTCCCCCAACTTTGGAAATTTTTATTTCAATTTTACTCCGATTTGAAGAAAATAGAAGAGATTTTTATTGATTTCCTCTGATTTTTGAAAAAAAACCTCCCGTTTTCAAGTAACCCCCCAATACTTTTATTACTTCGCGCCGTCTCTGTGAAGACGTCATTATTTCACGACGAATATTGGCTTATCTTATTATAAATTTATCATCCATCTATCACATTATTGTTCATGCAATAAAAAAAATAGACAACGAAGAATACAAATAAGAATCTTCAATCATTCTTTATTCGAGAAGCAAAATAAAAGTAATGAGCTTCATGTGATGCAGTATCTATCATTAACGATGATTGATATTTCATTAATTCGAATAAAGAAGGTATCAACTTAAATGACCTTGTGATATATATATCAAAACCGAAAGAGACACAAGAACAACAGCATTACAAAGTCGAATAAACACGTTGTATGATAGATATAGCAATTATCTCATTACAATATGTGAACTCCTTAAAAGTTTGTCTTTAATTGTGGTAAAAAAGAAGTTTTAATCAAGCAGATAGAACATTGTTTAGAGATGGATCAACAATCATTCCCAAAAAATGTTTAGACTGTCTTTTAGTTTTCTTCTTTTGATAACAAACGTTTTGTTTTAATTAAGTATACTGGCTGATTCATTTTGACAAAGAAAAAAAAATGTATGGAAGTATCACCGCAGTTTCGACATTTTTCCTTTCGACCAAATTCTAGATAATCACAAAATGTAATAGCGTAGACATTATTCCCTCGGCATTCATTTATGTTTTGTATGTCACATCGATCGAGAATGATCCATGCACGAACTTATTCTGTGTGTCTGTAAGTGCATAATTTGGAAGATGATTATATTTGATAATAGCAACGTTTTTATCTGATCCTACAAAATAGGCATCCGTTTTATTGATGAAAGATTTACTTTGTTAGATCCAAACGACCATAAGAAAAATCATGCGAGAAGATCGACTTATATTATGGTGCCATTTCTATTTTTGTAATTAGATAAAATTATGAAAATAATAAGAGTAATAATAGCTATTTGTTCGCGAAAAATAACGCGGGTGTTTCATGGAACGATAGATTATAGTGAAATTTGTGTTTGCAATATGACATTTTGATATCCATTGAAAGATTTCTATTGCAACAGTTGCGATTAACATCCTAGATACTCGAGTCAATGCCTTCTAGTCATTGAAAAAATTGAAAAGATGAATGTGCTGTGATGGCCGAGTGGTTAAGGCGTCTGACTTGAATCTCGATATGACAAGCAATCAGATGGGTTCTCCCGCGTAGGTTCGAATCCTACTCGCAGCGTTCCTTTTTTACCAACTTTTTCTTCTGACAAAATTTCAAATGTTCTCAATCGTTCAATGCTTCGATACAAAGAAATTAGATTTTTATTACAAGAGTTTCTTCTAATGTTGACGAGAGATGATACAATAATTAAAATATTGTAACTAATGAACTAACAAAGAAAAAAAAACTAGGTCGTATCTTTGACAAGTGATCTATTAATCTTTCTGAACTGAAGATATAATCATTCTGAATATCGGGAACGATCGAAAACATTTGTAAAATTTTCATAATTCAATATTGAATTTGACGGTAAGCGATTATCATGTTTCATCCGGCTGTTGTGCGGATCGCTATTTCGTCGAAGAAACGACTCTCGTCTCTGAAAATATTTTCTTCGTTTAATGAAATTACGGAAAACGACAACACAATAGTACTCTATTGATGGCTCTCGATATTATCATAAAATAATCAAACCAGTCTTACATAAATCTAATAATACATAGTAAACAGAACTTTACAAAGCAAAATAAGAGAGATATTGTTTAATTTTATATTATATAAACGACATGTTCAATATTCTTGCCATTAACTGCGCAACGATGTTATGTTTATTTTCGTTAATAGCGACGTATTTGTTTTATTACTTCGTATTTTCGAACCATATCCATTGGAGAGAGACAATATGATGCACTGAAATGATTCTATCATGATGAAAATTATTGTTTTCCAGATTGATAGACATAGTTTCATGCACGGAGCTTGGGTTAAGTTCATTTAAATCAGTTGAAAAAAGATTATATTTAATAATAAGCATATTATATTATACTGCACATAAAACATCCGTTTTAATGATGAAAGAGTTCCTATTTCAATATTAGATTATGCGTGGAACATGTTATTGTTAACTGAAAATTTTAAACTAGTTACTACTATTTCATTACTTGATAGTAATTATGTTCCCAGCGATATTGAAGAGTTCTATCAGGAATGTTTCAACAAATGAAAAGTGACTTGTAGTTGTTGAAAAAATTGAAAAGATGAATGTGCTGTGATGGCCGAGTGGTTAAGGCGTCTGACTTGAATCTCGATATGACAAGCAATCAGATGGGTTCTCCCGCGTAGGTTCGAATCCTACTCGCAGCGTT